TCTTCCAAGGAGCCTCCAAGCAACTTCCAAGAAGAATCCCCCAAGAAACTTGTCCACCAAGTTTCATCTTCTATAAATTGAGCTAATCTCCCATCTTGGAACACATGAGAAGGAGTTTTTGTTGCTTTGTTATGTCTAGTGTGAATTTATCAGGCAAATAAAAAAGGGTGTATATGATAAAGTTTTGGATTTAATCAATTGTGCAGTATTGGTGAACCATACGACTTAGTAGGGCTGTTGTATCCTGGGAGGGACAAGTCAAGGTTTTTTCTACTGCACCGGTGTGAGGCTTTGCCTAATCGCAGAGGGCTTGAATCTCCTTAAAGAGAGCGAATTTCCCGCGCCTCAGCCCTTTCAATAATTATTGTAATTTCTATTATTTGTATTTTCTAATGTTTTATTTGTAATTATCACCAACATAAAGTCTTCTCTTAGTTTCTTTGTTTCTTTCCTATTACGGGTCTTTCTTGTATTATGTAATTTTTGTTGATGTTAGACTTACGGGTATGAATAGTCAAGACGAAATAGATAAAAGAGGGAAAACAAAAATAAAAAAAAATAAAACCTCAAAAGGAAATGTACTATTGTGTTATTTGATACATATGGGAAAGATTAAAGGGTGTGTACCATATACACCTTATAACTAAAGAAGAAAATGACGTAATTTCATATTTTATGAGTCATAACTAAAAAAAAAAAAAAAAGTTTATAACCAAACAACATATGAGGCATAACTAAAGATCTCATAAGTCATAACTAAAATAAGGTCATAACCAAAAAAGAAAATTAGTCATAATTAAATAAGAAAATGACATAATTTAAAAATGCATATGGTAGGGGAAAACCCTTCAACAAAAGGCATAATTAATATGAAAAATTTTAAACATACAAAAAAATTTAATAATAGTGATATGGCAATATCATTATTGTAAATAAATTCATTTTTAATGATATTTTATTTTGAAGTGAAAGGTCCACAATGAACCACATCATCATGTATGATTTTTTTAATTTTTTATAACATTACTAACATTTGACTAAGAAAAATAGGGTCCTGTAACTGTATATTTCTTAACGCTGTGTTTGGTTGAGGGATTTGAGATATAATTTGAAAAGGAAAATAGAAAAGTAAAATGAAATATGAATAAAATCTATATAATAAAGTAGAATGGTTTTTGAATTTGTCCTATACACATTTATCCTACTAGGACATTTGCACGGCACAGATTTATTCAAATTATAAAACAACGGTTGAAATATATTTCTTAAAAAATATCATACATGTATATTTTCTACTTTCCCGCTTCTCTCTCTTACTTTTTCATTTTCTCACCCATCTTTCTACGATCCCATGATCCCATATTCCTCTCTCTTTTTATTTTTTTTTATTTTCTCCCATTTTTATTTTTCTCTCTATTTCTTTATTTTTTTATTTTCTCCTTTTTGTTTACTTATTTTTATTCATATTATATAGAAAAATCTACTATCCCAAAATCAAGAGCCAGATTTTATTGTGTGTAGTGAAAATTATAATAATGTAGCGATCCCGGTTTCGATCCTTTTTTCATGTTTTGCCACTTCAACTGGGTCGGCTGGGGATCGAGGTTGCAAAATGCAAAATGCATTCGAAGTTGCTTGTCCGCTCGAGCAGAGAATGTTTGGTTTTAGAAGTTTGACCTGCCTACAAAAGTACTGGGTTAGTGTATTTGACACTCGAGCAAGGCTTTCCACGCTCAAGCGGCCCATGTTATATCAGTTTATGAATCTGATATTTCAGATAACTTTTTTAGTCCTTTCTCTCTCTCCCTCTAAAACTCTCCAGAATTTCAGATCGGGAGCTTCTCTCTCTAGAAGTCATATTCTCTCTTTGATTTCTCCAAATCCATTGGGATTTAGACCTAAGTTATTCACCAAAGTTGGTTATCATCTCGAGGGTTTCGTTGTGTGCGGTGAAGATCGAGTTTCTACACCGTTGATTTTGGGGGTTTCATCTCATTTCTTCTTCAAAACTTGAGGTAGGAATTTTCTTAGAGTTATATATATGTTTTTGCAAGATCTATATGATTTTCGAAATCATTTTTCGATAGCTTTGAAAATTGATTGTTGATTCAAGAAGTTGAGCGATTTTGAAAGTAGGTTTGTCTCTTGTTCTTTTAAAATGATCTTATGGGTTTTGACCTTCGTTGATTGAAGAAAAGATGATTTTGGAAAGTGTTCTTTCAAAAAATTTGAGTTGTATAGTTTTGGTGAGAAAACTTAGAATTTGGGGATTTTTTTTAAGGGACTGAAAATCCATGAATGATATTGTTATATTTATTTTGTGTGTCAAAATAAATGAATCTTTGAAAAATTTCTTATTCATATTTATATAAATGATGAATTTCAGGGAATATGAGAATTATTGTTTATTTTGGAAATTATTGTTCAAAACGTTAAAATAGTCTTAAAATGACTAATTGTTGAGGATACTTAAGAAGAGGGAATTGTGTTATTCCTTAGATGATGAATTGGAATAAAAGTATTTATATTCATCTTGTGTTATTAGCATATCAATTCATTTGATTACATTAAACTTTGAAAGTTGATCTGAAAACTTGCATTGAGAAAAGAATGTTGAAAAGCAAGTTTTCATGGAATGGTTTTGGGGTAAATACGTTGGTAAGTCTTGATAGGTAGTGTAGATGATATTGAATAAGTTGGCCTGAGAGTCCGAAGTGAAAGACCGAAAGCCCGCGTGGATAGGTGTCGAGCCTTCCGGTTAATACTGGTAAAAATGACAAATTGGTAGCACTTGTATAGTCTACTTGCAGACACCGACCTAGGGATTACTAGAGTCGTATTTGCCACTCTTGAAATGAATTGTTAAGTTATGAAGAATTGAATTGCATGACATCATTGAGCATGATAGTTTTGAAAGATGAAGATGTGATTTTCTTTCAAAATGGCATAGCACGGCATGTGCATTTTATCTCTTGAGACTTGTATAAAATGTATATACTTTATTAAAGATTTCCTACTGGGCTATATGCTCACCCTACGGGATTTTTGTGCAGGAAAAGATGTAGTGATGCCGCTTAACTAAAGGCGAGGAAATGTGTGTTAAGAGTACGAGACTCTCATTTTATTGTGACTCTGTGTGTAAGCCAAGGGCTATATGTGTGTAGGTTTGAATAACCATTTTCTGTAACCAGGCTCAAGCATTAGAAACTTGTAAACCCTTGGAGGTATTTATTTGTTTATGTTCTTGTTGTTGGATTAATGTATTGTTGCATAAAGAACTATTGTATCATATAATGTAAGTTTAGAGATTTATATTTGGTTTTCCTTGAAAGAGCCATTATTGTTGTATTATCATTTGGGCTAAAAATTTGGGGCGTTACAACAAATGAATTTTTTAGACCACAAATTAAATGAATTTGAAAATTTTATTATTATTTTTAAATATATTGAATACCTGATAGATTTCATAAATTTAGACCCCATATGAATCTTTAACATCTATATAATAAAGCAGGATGGTTTTTAAATTTGTCCTATACACATTTGTCCTACTATGATATTTGAACGACTCAAATCTATTCAAATTATAAAACAACGACTGAGATATATTTTTCAAAAAATATCCTACATATATATTTCCTATTTTTTCGCTTCTCTCTCTTACTTTTTCCTTTTCTCACCCATCCTTCCATGAACCCATGATCATACCTTCCTCTTTCTTTTCTTTTTATTTATTTTTAATTTCTCCCATTTTTATTTTTCTCTTCATTTGTTGCTTTTTTTATTTTCTCTTTTTTGTTCACTTATTTTTATTCATATTATATGGAAAAGTTTGCGATTCCAAAATTAGGAGTTAGGTTTTACTATGTGTAGTGGAGATTAAATTAATGAATTTTATAGTTCACAAATTAAATGACTTTGAACAATTAATTATTATTTTTAAATATATTGAATATCTGATAGACTTCATAAATTTAGATCTCATATGAATTTTCAACATCCATATAATAAAGTAAGATGATTTTTAAATCTGCAACATATTTTTGTCCCATTAGAACATTGAGATGGCTCAAATCTGTTCAAATTATAAAGCAATGGCTAAGATATATTTTTCAAAAAATGTTCTACATATACATTTTCTACTTTCCTGCTTCTCTGTCTCTTACTTTTTCCTTTTCTCATATCACTCCTTTCATGATCCCATGATCTCGCATTCCTCTCTCTTTTCTTTTTATTTTTTTTATTTTCTCATGTTTTTATTTTTCTATCTACTTGTTTATTTATTTTTTATCTTTTCATTTTTGTTCAATATATTTTACACATATTTTCATACAATGTATGTGTGCCCGTAATACACTAGGACATTACGGGCATACATACAATTTCCATATAATTATATAAGTAAAAGTAGTATTGTATGTATGCCCATAGAAATTGTATATATGTTAGGCACATCTATTTATCTAGTTATATATTATATAAGCAAAAACGAATTTTTGTGAGGAGTTTTGTGAGAACTCTAAAATTTTATAATAAATTTGTGATTTTATCAAATTAAAAAATAAATTTAAATAGTGTTAGGATTACAATTATATTCTAATCTTAATATTACTTATACCGTGCCTTCAGGCACGGGTATATGCTAGTATACTTATATTTTACCTAGTTTCACACTCATTTTTTCTTTTATTTTTTAAATTCCTTCTCAAATCTCCCAATCAAATATTGTGTAAATGATGGACTACAGAATTTCAAGAGAATGTGATACAAAATGAAAGACTAAACGAGAGATTTTTAAACTGTTAATTGCAAAATGGGTAAGATTATCAATCTCTCATCCTAATGATGAGTCAATCCAAATACAAAATACAATATGCATATTCTACAAGAATTAATAATACTAAAAATATCTTAAAAATACTATCAATCTAATTGAGACCGCACAATCAAACTTGGTCTAATTGTCGTGGAACACGTGTGATTTATATAATTTGATGTCTGTATACTGTATACTGGAATCCCCCTCTCTCTCTCTCTCTCTCTCTGAGAGTCTCCATGTTTGGGGGAAAGATTCTCTTGGCAGGGTGCACAGCCCTTGTTGTTGTTGTTGTTGCTGTTGTCGTCCTGTTTTCTGTAAATCGCTATGCTAGGAAAAGTCACCACCACTGTGACGCTTCTTCGTGTGGAAATAATAACATCACCAATCCCTTTAGATTGAAAGGCGATCCAAAAGACTGCGGAGACGAGGCGTATGAATTGGAGTGCAAGAATAATCGCACAGTATTATACTCATTCTCTGGAAAATACTACGTGGAGGAGATCAACCACGACAAGCAGACAATCAGACTTGTGGATGTGGGCATACAGAAGGACGATTGCTCCTCTCTTCCTCTTCACTCTTTGACCTATGGCAACACCTTTCAATATCCATATCGTTTGAGGTACGCATATGATAGACCTCTAGTAGTAGTGTTCATGAATTGTGAGAACCCAGTGAAGTCTCCCCTCTACATACACAATATTTGTAGCAAAGGAGGAGGAAATTCTTCGGACTCTGTAAAAGGGCAATATTTGTACGTTGCGTTGGGTGACTTGAACGTGTCAGATGTGGCGGATTTGTGTACAGTGGAGATGATGGTTCCGATTGCACAGCCGCTGTTGTCGATGAGGAGTGAAAATCGTGGGAACATTTCCTTCTTGGCCGTCCACGATGCCATGGCTTATGGATTTGAGCTTTACTTTAACAGCTACTACGGCTCCTACTTCGGCAGCTACTACTTCAGAAACTGTCTACCGCATAGGTCGACCTTTCGTTGTGCGTAAGATTTTTTTTAATACTTCAAACCCTGAATTCCGATTCAATTTCTTCATTCGCTAATAATATGAACAAATAAAAATATTCCTTTTTCCATTTCTTTTTCTTTTCTTTGTTTTTTGTTTTTTGTTTTTTTTTTCATTGTAACAGAGAAAAATATTTCTCTAAAATAGCTTCACGACCATCATGTTTCATGTAAGGTAAAATCTAACAAACCAGGATCACCATATTTGCAAATAGCATAGTCAATGTGAAGAAAAATTAAAGTTGACTTTGGATAGATATAGATCAAGTTAATTTAAGCAATCAACTTGTAAAAATAAAATTAAAAAAATGGCCTTGATTTAAAATTATCAACACCGTTACATCCACCGAATTTATTTAACCCAAATTCAGACTAAACAAATTTAGTGGATGAATCATTAATCTAAAATTATATATAAATCAAATTATAAAGTTTACTATTAGGAAATTGTGTGTTACTATCTAAAAAAATAAAAATAAAAATAAAAATAAAAATAAAAAGACGATTTTTTGCCCTCAATTTTAAAATTTTAGCATTCAATTTGAATTTCACCTTTTTAGAATAGAAAATTTTAATTGTTTGAAAACATCAATTTCAATTTTGTCATTTTGCGGGCCTCAATTTGAAATTTTTAGTCTTAGACATAAAATAAGGCATCATTTTACTTTGAAAAATATTATTCAAGTTTATTTTTTAAACACATTTTTTAAACATGTGTCAAGATAATGATTAGTTGATATCAATCAATTATCATCTTGAGACATAGAAAGTGAACCATGTTCTTTTATTTTTTGGGATTGGCTTTCCATTTTGCGATTTTTAGCCTCAAGTGAAAACTTTAATATTTGAAAAAAGTGAAATTTTACTGTTTTGGGTAATGGTCAATACAATGAATATTCATTAATTAATTTTTTTTTTTTTTATTCGCAAACAAAAGATCTCAGAGAGAATTTCAAAAATTCAACTTCATCAAAAACGAAGATATATGTTAAAATCATGTTTGGTTTTAGAAAATTGAGTCCGCTTTTTACAAAATTTAGTTTTTTTTTTTTTTTTTTTAGTGAATTTTTTTAATATTTTGGCCTCGTTTGGGAACAGGTTAATTTAGTAACTTTTTGAATATTTGGCTAAAATATGAGCAAAAAAAAACTAGTATGTTTGGGATGGTTTTTTGGCTTTTTACGAAAAGATGTGCAAAAAGTAGACAGAAAAGAGAATCTTTGACTTTTTGGTATGAGTTGCTGGCTTTTTGACTAATTTAGTAACTTTTTGACTTTTTGGCTAAAAGGGAGGGTTCCCAAACGAGACTTTATCCAATTTTTTTATTTTTTAAATATACCTAATCTAAATATTCTTAAAAATTATAGTATTTGTGATTTTTTAAAAAATAAAAAATTTACCAAACACAATACATTTTTGTATTTTGTTGTATTCAATAAATTTTTTTAAAGATTTTCATATAAATTTTTTACTTTTTAAGTATATTAAGATTAAGTGGATCTAAAAATTTTAAAAAAAAAATTGATTAAAATATTAAAAATACAAAGATACGAATTGAAAACTCAAAAAATTATTTTTAAAAACTCAAAACCAAGCAGAAAAAAATTCTAAGTTGTTAAACAATTCAAAAACTAAAAACAGTGATATATTTATGCTGGGAAATGCTATCACACTATACGCACCTCCGACAAAATATGTAATTTTATTACAAAATTTTATAATATTAACTATAAAATATATAATCTCACTACAAATTAATGTAACAAAGCTTCGACAAAATATGTAATTTTATTACAAAATTTAATAATAATAACTACAAAATGTGTAATCTCGCTATAAATTAGCGTAACAAAAAATGTCATAATCAAATCATAAATTTTTGCAATATCAATTATAAAATTTTAGATATTTTATTATGTCAATTTGTAATAATATTGCACATTTTATAATAAAATTATATATTTTTAAATAAAATACATATGATATGTACCTAAAGAGATACACACATAGGATTTCTCTTCTATGTTACATTATTGTATAAGAGTATTTTGATATGAATCTGGCCCCCTCACTGTTAGAAGACTGGAATTAGGAAACCTGTTTTTGTCCAAATAAAAAATCCTTTATTTAGTTTGACCTCAAAAAAAAAAAAAAAAAAAAAAAAAAAAAAAAAAAAACTGGTTTTTGTAAAGCATGTGGCAAAAGCATGTGGCTTTTTCATGATTCTTTAATTTTTTTTCTATTTAAACTTTGATGTGTTAAATTACTCTTAATCCCACCCATTCATCGACCCTGCTTATAACTTGTCTAACACAGGAATTTTTTTGCAAAGCATGTGGCATTCTCTCATTTTTTATTTCAACTTAGGTTTTTTTTTTATTGATAGATGTGGACAAAAATTTAAAAGTAAAAAGAAAAAGCGAGAAAAATGAAAAAAAAAAAAATCAGGTTATATTTTATTTTCTCTCACCTCTTTCTATTTTGTTTTTAAATTCCTAACCAACTTTATAATTTAAATACAATATTAATGTGAATCAAGATTTTACCTTAACGATACCAAATAACCGTCAACCCTTAATAACCATCTTAACCATCCATCTCAGTACCACCATACACTTAAACTAAACTGTATTAGTCCCTCCCTTTCCTTCCCCTTACCCACAACCCTCCTTCCATTTCCCTTCCTCCACAGCCACATATTATCCATCACATTTGCATATAATAAGCCGATATTTAAGAGTTGTAAACAATTTAATGTACTGATTCAATTTATTCCTTTTCTAAGATCTTCCCATTCCCCAAACTGCCATCTACTACACATCTCAACTCATATTTACATACACTTATACAGTGTTTGGTTGGGAAATTTTGAGATGAATTTGAAAAGAGAAAGGAAAAATATAGGTGAAATTTAAATAAAATATACCTACATTTCACCTAATTTTACATACTTTTTCTCTTTTCTTCTCTAAATTCCCCAATCAAACACCGCGTCAGTGCACCAATAAACCGATATGTAAGAGTTGTAAATTGTATATTGTGCTGATTCAACTTATTCCTCTTCTAAGATCTTCATATTCAAATCAGAGATAGTTTATCGATATCTTGCAACTCAACATGGATTCCACATTCTGAATTAAAACAAACTATGCTCCAAATCCACGTAATAGAGAACTATTTCTACAATCAAAACTAGGGGCGAAGGTGGGGAATGATAGGGGAGGCATTGGTGGTGGCAAGAAAGGTAGGGAAATGGAAGAGATACTGGGTATGGCAAAGGCGGTGGGAGACGGTGGGGATAGTTTGTGTTGTCTCTCCTAGTGTGAGATCATTTTGAGAGCAATAAAGGAGGTGATGGTGGATATTTATATCTAGGGAAAGGCTACAGTGTGCAACCCCTTCAAGAGTGCAGACTATACGTATTCTATTATAAATTGACATAGTTTTGTTATAAAATTTTGTAACATCAATCATAAAATGTGTAACTTCACCATAAATAATATAACAAAATATTCACAATTTTATAGTTGATATTACAGAAGTTTGTGGTTTGATTACGATATTTTTGTTATGTCAATTTGTGGCTAGATTCAACATTCTAGGATTGATGTTACGAAATTTTTTAATAAAGTTATGTTAATTTGTGGTAAGGTGCACATGACACCATTGGCTTTTTCCTATAATCTATACAATATATCTTAAGCAACAGCCTTAGTGGTATCCTGAAGCCTTTTCTTCTTCTCATACTACATGACTGATTTTTCTATTTTAAAACAAAAAGATTATTCAAAGAGATGGGCAAAGAATAAACCCAAGACCTTATTTTTAACAAAAAAGATTCTTACCACTTAGGCAACATTTGTCTTCTAATATTAGTTTGTTATCATTTATTTTTATTCTTATTTGAATTACATATGCATTTCGTGTGGCGCCCGCTAGTTATATTAGTGAACAAATCACTTTGTTTCTTGAAGTTTCTTATCTCCTTTTGTCAAGTGGCTATTTTTCCAATTAAAAAGAAAAAATAGATAAAAGGAAGAAGTGAGACTTGAACCCTTAGACCTAATGTTTGATGAAGAAGATTCTTACCAATTGACCAACACACAACACATAATAAGTAATTTATTTTTATTTTATTTATTTGAATTGCGCAAGCATTACATGTGCCAACTGTTAGTATAATATATAGGTAATTCTATTTCCACATACTAAACCCTTTCATTACACATCTCTTTACAAGGCACACAATTAATGATTTTCAAATATCAAATTTTGCTCAGTAGACATCCTTTCTTGTTAAAAATACCTCTAACTCCTTTAAACCCAACCTAACCCTAGCTACCACTCGCTACCACCATGAACCACGACGAACTCTGGCCACCATCGCGAGCCTCCTATCTCACATGCACTGCTACTACCATCTCTGGTGGCCCTCCTCAACCGTTCCCAACGACCCTCTTTGCACCTCCGCTCCTACCAAATCCTCTTCGATACCCTTCCTACGACCCTTCCTTCTTGTAACTCCTTCACCTGCAACACACCAATCCTATCCACACTTTAGCGACCACGATATAGAGAGATTCTCAAAGAGAGAGATTGCACGACTAGGGTTTTGAAATAAAGAGTGATAGCCAGCAACTAGCGTTTCATAGTGAGAGAAGTTGCGACTATGATTTTGACAGGATGAAGAGTGGTGGTTACGAGGGTACCACAGAGGGGCTACGGAGTTTGCAATGGTAGGAAACTCATGGCAATGGGGATTTCAAGGAGGCAAAGTTGCAGCAATGGTGGTTCGTGGTGGCGGCGGCTAGGGTTAGGTTTAGAAGGAAGTTAGGATTTTGGTAAAGATAAGGACATTTTGGTAATTTTATCTTAGGACAAAATTATAATAAAATAAAATATCATTAAATGTGTGAACAAAGAAAGAATGAGATGTGAAAATAGAAGCATCCGTAATATATGCATACTGTATATGTTTGTGGTGAATAAATTGACAAAATCATCCTTCTTTGTTATTGCCTTTAAATCAAGATAGATGGATAGTTTGAATTGGACCAATTTAAAAGTTTTTAAGATTCAAACTGTAATTTGAATAAATGAAAACCATGGTGTCTTATTTGTAACAATAATCAAAGTTTGGGGTGTATTTTATAATTTGTCAATAATTTTCAAATTCCACCCTGTTTCATTATTATAATATGTGGGGCATGATGTTTAATTCATTATTTTTTAAAAATGTCCTAAAGTAATTGTTGAAATTAGAATTTAGCAAAATCTCTTAAAAAAATCATCTCTATTTCAAATTGTATTATTGCAAAATTCTCTCGTAAGATTCGTAAAAAAATTTCTGTTTACATCTTTCTTAATACAACTTACAAAATAATATTTATATTTGTTATTTTATAAGAAAATATAATATACGATAATTCCACCATTAAAAAAAACTTTCCAAGATGAAACATATAGCTATGTAACATGTTAAAATTAATTTTAGCATTGAGGGTAAATTACACTAACCTCCCTTGATGTTTGATAAAAATAAAGTCTCATAATTTTAATATAATTACAATGACTCCTTTTAATAAGGTTAAATGAACCAAAACTAATACAATAGTGCAAAAATATAAAAATAAATAACTTAAAATATATATTTTTATGTAAAATAGAAGACAATATTATTTTTTTTTTCATTCATATAACTAACAAATTATTAATGAAATTGAAGTTAAGTGTTATATAAATTAAATTTTTTTAAAAAAACTCAATATAATTTATTAAAATTATGAAATTTATTATATTTTCTTTAAATCTGACGAGAGATCGGTTAATTTACCCTAATATTAATTATTAAAGATTTTAAGATACATATGACTGCGAGGAGTAATGCTTTTTGTTGGCTGACAATTTTTTTTCCTTTAAAATAATGCAGGCTACATGTGGAGGATCGCTTTATGTAAGTATTCTTCCTTCATCCATTCATATCAGAAACGTTCTTAGCTCTTAGCTAGGGTTTGGTTTACTTAAATGAATTGGAATATAGTGATGATTTTATTAAAATAATTATTGATATGTTTGAGTGGAATGAAATAATAATGAGAAATATTACAAATAGAATCATTTTATATCATTTTAAAGGAATTGTCATTTCATAAAAATCCTTGGGAAAATTACTTATCACTAGACATATAAAAAAAAGAAATTACACAAATAAATATGGAGGGGTGCAACTTTTCATTTGTACCTCATCACAGATTCATTTGCACCCTCTATGTCTTTGTATTTTTTTTTTTTTCTCTGCTCCACTATTAATTAATTCCCCCCAAAAAAACTTAAGTAATCACCATTTCATACAATTCTCTCTCATCCCAATGAACCACATAGAGTATTAGTTTTTTTTAGGGAAAATTACAACAGTACCGCTACATCCACTAAATTTTCCTCTGTCTGAATTACCCAATGAGTATCTTACATGTAGGATATTCATTTTTACCCGGTCGATTCATTCAAGCAATTTCAGCAGAGGAAAATTTAGTAGATCAAACATTTTTGAAATTATAAACACTTCATAAGATTTACTTAAAGTATAGAATATTCCTACAGTTTTGAAATTACAAATACCTCATTATCAGAATTTTTTATTTAACATAAATAATAGAAGAAATAAAATTTCTAATTACTCCCCTATACAATAATAAAATTACTGAAATTGTTAATTAAAATATATCTTTTTCATTAAAAACTATTAATTGACTTAATAATTTATTAATAAAAAGCGTCACTCATTATGAATTAGAATTTGAAAGAGTGGAATGTAATTTTCAAACCCACAGAAAACAATTCGTATTTTAAGCAAATCTCAGAAAGTGTTAACCTTTTTTTTTTTTCTTCACCATAACCAACCTTTAAGACAAAGCTCTTTATTCAAATACCAAACCAAGCCTTAAGTCCTATCAAATCGGGTCGGCTACATGAATCTTTCTTCTCTACTCGACTCTATCAAAGGCCATTTGGTTAGCCAAACCAAGGAGATTCATATCTCTATTTACTATACTAGTCCATGTCAATCTAGGTTTGCCCTTCTCCTAACACTTCCCTCTACCGTCAATGTATCGCGCCTCTTCATTACTGCCTCTGTTGGTCTCTATTGTATATGACTGAACCATCTCAATCTATTCTCTCTCCGCTTATCTTCTATCACTGCTACTCGTACTCATTCATGAATATACTTATTCCTAATTCTGTATTTTCTATTCTTGCCACACAGCCACCTTAGCATACTTATCTCAGGCACACTCATCTTATCTACACGTTGTTTCTTAGTTTCCCAACATTTTATCACATACAACATCGCTGGTCTAATAGCCGTTTTATAGAATTTTCCTTCTAATCTAGTGGGTACTTGTTTATCGCACAGTACCCCAAACGCACTCCTCTACTTAAGTCACCTCACCTTAATTTGATGGACTACATATGCTCCAATATCCCCAGCCGTTTTGGTAATTGATTATAAATAACGAAAAGGTTCACTCTTAGGTAGCTCTTGGTTCTCAATCTTCACTTCTCCTCTGTTTTCATTGTTACTATTACTAAAATTACATTCCATATACTCTGTTTTAATTCTGCTTATCCTAAATACTTTAGATTCAAGTCCTTTTCTCCATGTCTTCAACTTAGTGTTAACTCATTTTCTAGTCTCATTCACTAACATGATATCATCTGCAAAAAGCATACACCATGGCACATCATTTTGAATATTTTTCGTCAACTCATTCATAACTAAAGTAAAAAGATAAAGACTTAAGGTTGATCCTTGATGTAACTCCACAGTGATTGAAAATTTTAACCGATGATCTAATAGTTGTCTCCACACCTTCATACATGTCCCTAATCACATCAATGTGGCCTTTTGTCACCCCTTTCTTCTCTAACATCCACTAGATTATATCTCGAAGCACCCTATTATATGCTTTCTCAAGATCAATAAAAACCATATGAATATCTCTTTTCTTCTTTCTATACTTCTCTATTACTCTTCTCAAAAGATAGATCACTTCCATTGTTAACCTATCGGGTATAAATCTAAATTGATTCTCTAACAGCTCTATTATATTTCGTAATTGGCATTCTATCAATCTCCCATACTTTCATTATATGACATATCAACTTAATTCCTTTATAGTTGTTGTAATTCTAAACATCTCCTTTATTCTTATAGATTGGCACTAAAATACTCATCATCCACTCCTCTAGCATTTTCCTAGTCAACAAAATATTACTAAATAGCATAGTCAACCAAGCAACCCCCTTCTTACCCAAATATTTCCAAACTTCAATAGGGATATCATCGAGTTCTAGAGCCTTATTTGATTTCATCTTCTTAAGTACAATCTTCACTTCAAAATTCCTAATTATGCGATAGAATATAATCTTGATTTTCCTTATTACTGATTACTTCCTCCCCTTTTGACCTCCTCCATGTTCCTCATTTAACAACTTCTCAACATAGTTCTTCCACATCTCTTTAATCTCTTCATCCTTTACCAACATCTTAGACTTCTCACTCTTGATGTACTTAACCTGATTAAAATATCTTGTTTTCCTCTCTTTTATCGTAGCAAGTTTGTATATTCTCTTTTCTCCTTACTTACTATCAATTCTAGTTTGTAGGTCATCATAGGCTTTCAATTTAGTCTCTCTCACTACTTTTTAGATCTCCTTATTAGCCAATCTGTAGCTCTTAAGATTTTATTCAGTTCTATCTTTCTGCCACTTTTTAAAGCACTTTTTTTCGTCTTTACTACCTCTTGAACCTCATCCCTCCACCATAAAGTTTCCTTAGAGTTGGGTCCCTTTGCTTTTGACTCTCCAAGGACTTCCCTTGAGATTCTCCTTATATAATTGGCCAGCGAGTTCCACATAGTGTTAGCATCATCTTTCAAATCCCAAGAACCTTCTTCATCCATTCTATTCTTAAATATTTATAATTTATCCCCTTTAGATCCCACCATCTCATCTTATAGCGCCCACTATCCTTCATAGCTTGGTGCTTCCTTTTAAAGCATTAATCTAGTACTAAAATTCTAAGTTGGAATTAGCTCCCCACCATATTTCATCTATCCATAGCTCTTCATATTCTTCTTGTTGGCTCTAATCCTATTGGCTATTTTGACACTTCAAAGGATAAAAATGTAATTGTCACGTGCCAACAATGATCTGAAAAGTCCTAACAGAAGTTATAAGCCAATTTAATTTACTTGTCAGGCGATTATGATTAGGTTTTTTTAGCCTCAATCAAGAGACTTTACAGGTTGTATTTTAGTAAGAACCAATGCAATATAACTTGAATTCAAAATAGAATGGGAGGGAGAGACTGAACAGAAAATGTAATTGATTAATTGAATAATGCAATTATAAAATGTTACCTTTAGTAAGGACAACTTCGAATACAAGAGTTACTTTAATCTACTTCTATGAAAAGTAAGTGCAATGCTGAAATTTAAAGATAAATGAAACGACAAAGACGTAGAGCTTGGATTTATTCTGGGGACATTTTCATCTTTGCTTTCATATATTTATATCCTTCTTTTGCCCTGCGAAGTAGTTAAGCTGCTTTTCCTTACCATTATCTCCTTTTTTGTAGCTATTTCTTAGGGTCACTTCTTCTCTTTATGCATGCAAAACCACTAATAACTGTTGTCTTGATAACTTCTTTCCCTTATGCTCTTCACGTGTTGAATAACTACCTTTCAGCTGCCCAAACTCACATCCACTACTCACGTGAGTTGCGTCAAAGGTGGGTTTCGTTAATGACTTGGGCATCTGCATAATTACCCTTGCTTGCCAAATGTCACCTTCTAACATGATGATTTAATTATGGCGCCAACATTACCCTCTGCACTAGTGTAAGCAATATGGGTTACACTAGTGGTTCTAACTTCTGGTGCTTTATTTTCTCCACAACCTCCACTTACTTAAGTTTAGCTTCCTTTATAAATGTTCTCTCCTACCATGATCTTTTGGCTTGCACTTCTGAATTTTTGTATTTAAGACCAAATAATCGTAGAGACTTAGAATCATCAACCTTTGACTATCGATCTTTGCCTAAAACATTTATCTTCAGAGGCTTCGAACTATTGCTGGTCTTGATCAAATGTCTAACAAGGTTCAGGATGATGTAGATTTTTGCAGTGCTAATGCAACTATTCTTTCCAACTACCCAACGTCTCTAGAGTTGGGTTCGCATCTTAAGGTTGTTCATTTTGGCTCTCCTTCTCATATCCTTCAACCAGAACATTATACTATCCAAACACAAATTGCTCTCTTTTTCCCACTTACTTTGCAATCCTCTTCTTTGGGATGGGACGCACCCACATCTTCTTCCTCAACCAGCATTGCTACTGGTTAGGACACTTTGAGAGTCATGTTCAACACCTTTCATTCGTTTCAAGATTCATCGTCATCTCTTGGAATGGGTTGATCCTTGCGCTATCCCTTTTACTCGCTGAAGCAGGGTTGTGTATCCCTACAAACCCTAGATTGTTAGTGAAGAGGAAGCAAAAGAGGACTTACCAAAGGATACTACTGAACAACATGTCCCAATTACACCTCTGCAAGCAGTCTTTCCTGTCTCATCTCCTATTGTTTCTCAAACCTCTACCCCAGTAATTCCTCCACGTGTTGTTGATACCTTGAGCCAAACTAAACCTTTCAATTCTTCTTCACTTGATTCCCTGGTTCGAAGAATAGTAGAGAGCATCCTTCTATCAGAGGCTACTATGGTTGAGACTTCTCAATCAAAAATCTTACCAAGTTCCATACCTTCTAACAGCACTTCTGCACCTCAAGCATAGAATCAAACAACAATGGAGGAGAGCATAAAACCTCAAGCTAGCAATAGTGAAGCTATGGAAATGTTAGGGTCTGAGTTAATGGCATTTGAGCAAGAGCTTTAAC